TAATAGTTGCATTTCAAATGTCAATTTATTAATCAATTTAATAATCAAATGTCAATAAAATTGGTCAAAACTATAAATAACATGTCAATATGTACTTGCAATTCAAATAGTAGAATAAAAATAAAATAAAATCACAATTTGTCAGTTAAAAAATCTGATACACCATAATAACATTTATCTACTATATAAAAATAAGTCGGGTTTTCCTTCCTGACGCTATAACTGCAGAACGCACGAACCGATTTCCACGGTTTTGCATTCGTTGGAATGGTCTCGGGATCCGTGAGGTTTATAGCAAAGAAAATTCAGGAAAAATTTTAAAAAAATCGTTTTCTTTTAATCACAAAACGAAATGTTACATAAAACGAAGCTATCTGGTGGCGAAACGGAGTTCGCTGGGTTTGCTAGTCAGTTAATAGTTTCTTAATTTTCTGTTTAAACACATTATAATTTAAATCTTTCAAAGATGTTGGGAGTTTATTATATATTCGAGGAGCCATACAGAATATATTATTTCCCATTAGGGCTGTTCTGGAGTTGGGCATGCAAAGTCTACTGTTATCACGTCTGTGGCGATCTAGTACATCTGCCATTTTTACAAATAGGTGCATGTTCTCTTTTACAAATAAGAGGATTTCAAAAATATACAAAGACGGAAGTGTCAGAATCTTATATTTTAAGAAGTAAAGTTTACAACTATCCGTACTTTTTAAATCAAACATGGCTCTTATGCATCTTTTTTGCATTTTAAATGCTAAATCTTTGTCATTAGAATTCCCTCAGAGGATAATACCGTATCTCCGAATTGACGCAGCTAAGCCGTGATATGCAGTGAGCAGGGCGTCTGTGTTCAATAAGGAGGAAAGTTTAAACAACGCATAGCCGCACTGCTGACTTTCTCACTAAGGTATTCCATGTGAGGTTTCCAATTTAATCTAGAATCTACCATTATATCTCTATAGACCTATCTCTTTAGCCACTGTGCTTGCAAAAGTGTTTGATGGATTACTTAACAAACAACTGGGCAAAAATATATCTTTATGTGACACACAATTTGGATTTAGGGAAGGCCTGTCAACAGAGAGTGCTATACTTACTCTGAAGCATATAGTACAATACTATGTAGATAGGAAAACACCAGTATATGCATGCTTCTTGGATTTGTCAAAGGCTTTTGACCGGGTTTCATATGCAAAACTTTGGACTAAATTAGATGAGGCTGGCATTGCAATTGAAATAAGAGATATATTTTCCTATTGGTACAATAATCAGTTAAATGTAGTGCGTTGGGGTAATATCCACTCAGATGAATATTCGCTAGAGTGTGGGGTGAGGCAGGGAGGCTTAACCTCCCCTAGGTTATTTAACTTGTATATGAATCAGCTCATTGTGGAGCTCAGTAGTACACATGTGGGCTGCTATATAGATGGGTTATGTGTCAACAATATTAGTTATGCCGATGACATGGTACTGCTGAGTCCCTCAATTGGTGGGCTGAGAAAACTATTGAGAATTTGTGAGACTTATGCTGTAAGACATGGTTTAAAATACAATCCCTTAAAAAGCGAATTTATGCTGTTTAGAGGTAAGATAAAAGGGCCTCAGATTGTGCCACCTATTGCATTGAATGGAATTCCCCTAAATCATGTTAGTAAATTTAAGTACTTAGGACATATTGTTAATGAAAAACTTTGTGATGATTCTGACATAGAAAAGGAACGCAGGGCATTGGCAGTGCGAACATGTTGGCACATAGGTTTGCACGCTGCACAGCTGCTGTTAAATTGACACTTTTTAAAGCATACTGTCAAAATTTTTATGCATGCAGCCTATGGACCAACTTTACTAAAAGTGCCTACAATGCCCTTAGAGTTATGTATAATGACATATTCAGGGCTCTGTTTCGACTTCCACGCTACTGTAGTGCATCTGGCATGTTTAATGACGCAAGCACTGATGACTTTTATGCTATTATGCGTAAAAAAGTCGCGTCGCTGGTGCATCGGCTGCGGGGAAGTTGTAACGGAGTCCTGAGTATGTTAGCAAATAGAATGGACTCCCCTCTGCTCGGTTAGTTCATCAAACTACATGTTTGGTGACCAGGCCGAGGGGAGGGTGCAGTAAAAATTAATTAATTTTTAATTATTTTAATTCTGAAATTATTCATTTATTTATTTTAATTATTTCTGTAGGTATATGTTAATGATTTTATTATGTTTATATGTATATGTTATAATGATGATAGAAATTGTAATAAAATACTAACATAGGTTAAGAAAAATTGTTACTAACATATAAGACCAATGTCTTGAAATAAATGATTTTTATTTTATTTTTTATTTTTATTTTATTTATTTATTATTCCGAGAAATTTGACGCTTTCAACTTCGCGTATGTCAACATTTTGTTGATCAATTTTTAAACATATATCATTATTTTTACGTTGACTAAATTGCATTAATTGAGTCTTTTCAAGATTTATTTTTAAATTATTATCATTTAACCATGAAATAACAGATGTCAGAGAATTCTTAATGGCATGTTCATAAATGTCAGGATCTTTACAGGGAATTGTCAAAGTACTGTCGTCAGCGAACAGAGTAATTGGATAGTCAACAGATTTAGGTAAGTCATTAATATACACGTTGAAAAATAATGGACCAATCGCACTCCCTTGAGGAACTCCATATATTACCGTGCGCGTTTCTGAATAATAATTTTCTTCAAAATGCGATTTTGTAATAATTTGTGTAATGACAGTATACTGTTTTCTATTTACTAAATAACTTTCAATCAGTTTCAGAATATTTCCTCTAATACCGTATGCGTCAAGTTTTTTTAATAAAATGTCATGATTTACGTAGTCAAAAGCTTGTGTCATATCACAATATATTGCAGAAATAGGGCTTCTTTTGTCCATATTAGTTATTATATTATTAAGAAATTCGAACAGGGCTTTGTTAATATTTTTATTTTGACGGAAACCATTTTGTTCTTTACACAAAATATTTTTACTTTCTAGATAGTTATAAATTTCTTTATTATTTTTCGAAAACTTTTGATGTTATTGAATTTATGGCAATCGGTCTATAGTTATTTATTAACAATGTATTTCCTTTTTTAAAGATAGATAGATCTATATAGATATTTAGAAAATAAAAAGTAATAAAAATTTAATGTGTATGATGTTTATTATTATTTTATTAGTATTGACAAGAAGCCAAAACCAAATATTACACTACTGACATATATTTTTATTCTATGGGTTATAAGGGTGCAAGTGACAGTGATAATATTTCAATTTCTTTTTATTTTCGTAAATATTGTAAAACCTTTTTGTCTTTAAAGGACATTAATTTTTTTTGTGCTTTAGGTTTATAGGACTGATCATTAATTACATTAATTAATTGTAGTTGAATAAGTAATTAATTACTTATTCTGACGATGCAGACCTTGAAAAGGCTGCGAAACGGCAATAAGTAAATAAAGTTTCGTGCATTATCCCGTTAAAAACTAGTTTTATTTACTATAAATATTATTTCCATTTTATACTTTGCCTAGGTTAATGTATACAATTCCTAGGGATTGCATTGAGCACCTGCTGGTCCTCCGGTATTATGTAAAATAAACAGATTTTGGTCTTAATTTATCCGGACCAAACCTAACTTGCCTAACCAGTTGGATATAAAATGGTGGGCGGATTTTGCAATTCTCACTAAAAAAACTACAAACCAATGAACGTTTTACCAACTTATAATGCATTAGGTTAGAGTTGTGACCTTAATTAGGCTTTAACGTTTTAGGCCTTCTATACATAGCTGTGTGAACCTAGCACCCGACTTTGGAAAATCGATTTTTTTCTTATGATTCTTAATATCATCGTTTGTTAACTATTTTACGATTGATGTTGAAACAATATTTTAAAAATAACGGTTTTCTTGCTATAGCTGCAAAAAAACCGAAAAACCGAACCGAACCGAAAAATAATAAAGATAACTTTTTTCAATATCTGCAAAAAATAAGTTTCTTTTTTAATTTATAGTTGACAAACGATAAAAGTTTCCTACAATCAACTACAAACGTTATCTGAGCTATAGCTCCAAGAAAATCATTTCTATTTAAAAGTAAAGTATCAAAATCTGTGATTTGCTTATTTTTGTTTCGAATTTTATAAATACGTTGCTTTTAAAATACTTACATTTATAACCTTTGTGCTTTTATGTATTTTATCAATATTTAAAATATATAATAATTGTGCTTAATCTGTGTGATATAAAAACCATATGTATAATTTAGTTAAGATATTTGATAAAAAATAATTCAAATAATTTCTATTGGTTTAAGAAGTAAAGTAAAAAATCTGTGATTTGATTATTATATTATATGTAAATATTTATATTGGTTTATTACTGATGATTAATGTTTTGAATTTCATAAATATGTTGATTAAATACTTAAATTTATAACCTTATGTCTTTTACAATGTTACTTTACAACACGACTGTACTTTACCGTTCCAAAAGAATTAGCCAAATAGTTAAGAGCTCCAATAGGTCTCATTGTCGGTAAGTACGGCTTTGAGGGTCCAATGGGCACCATGTTCTTGATAGGAGGTCGAACGGGCACTTTTTTGTAGGTAAAGTCCAGTGAGGAGGGTCCAACGGGTACTAGACCATTTTAACGTGTACGTGCGGTAGGCTTAGTGCTTCTTTTTGGTAATAGTATATTAAACTAGATTGACCCTTATTTTCAACTAGTAAAGGTCAGATGTTTACCTATCTCCGTTTAAGAGAAAGAGATAACAGAAAGTAAGACGGCGAAGACATATTAATAGGGTTCCATTTGTCATCTTTAACGTACAGAGTCCTAAAAACTTTTTCACGAAAAGCAGCGGCATGGCTGTGTCACTGGCATTGTTGATGTCCAAGTGAGAGGGTGACCACTTAACATCAGGTGGTCCATCCTTTCCTCTGCCTTCGAAGGCGATAAAAAGAACTCACCGCTGTATTACACTCGTGGTACCTCCTCGCGACACCTGCGCAGTCATTTAGGTGTGTCTGCCGTGTCACACGCACCGTGATGATGGGCGGAGGTAATGTTCCATTGGGTATTGCGCTTCTAGACCTGTAAATAACATCTATATTTATTCATGGTGGCCTGAAAACTTTGAGTAATAGATACACAATGTCTGAAATAAAAATAAATTATGGGTAGAAAAATTTGTCTGAATTGATATTGAAAAAAATAGAGTTTATGGGAAAGTTGGTAGGAAGTAGTAGATCATGGAGCTAATGAATTATTTTTTCATGGCACAATCATTTAATGTCCCACTCCTGGGGCACTGGCCCTCCCTATGGAAGTTGGAATACGAAGAACGGGCCATGTCTCACCATGCGTTAGATACCAATGACTGAAGCAGTGACCAACTGCTTAACTTGCAATGTTGGCACTTGGAAAGTTGGTACTATCACTACCGCAGACGAACCTCTTGTTGCAATAACAAGAGACGATCTGGTGCATTTGCCATGGTTAGTCCTAAAGTAGCCTGTAGTGCTATTCTGTAGGAAGAAACTCACTTCTCACCTTGGAATCCGCGGTGAGATTTAAAATTAGAACACTATTTTAAAATAAATTACAAATCAGACCGGGGCGGATTCCTAAAATCAATACCTAAAATTAGGAGATGTTGCCGGTGCAAAACAGTTACAAACAAAAAACAAAATAATTACTTGTTAATGCTCCATTAAAAAGGAACATTCAAAAAGAGTAACAAAAATAGTAGTAGATACTTAAAAACCAAATCAATTCATAACATCCAAAAACAAAAAAGTCCAGAAACGCGGCACAACACAAAAAGGAGTTAATTTAATGAAATCAACGACGTCACTGACAAATAGCTTCGAACGCGTTAATCTAATTTGGTGTTTTTAAAAAAGGAGTATAATTTTTAAAAAAAAGCGAGAACATAGATGCTACGACTACGCAACGTTTACAAATGTTCCACCGCTAACAGGACTCGGACATTAATTTAATGCACCAAGGAGTTTGAATATTCATGATCGCTAGTAATGATTAGTTCCACTTGGTGCCTACACTAACAACCTTTATCACAGACTATTTAATAAGATAAGTGAACGCCATCATTAGGCTCAACTCTTGGCGCCATCGATGAACAGAAATATTATCTGGATTTAATTAAAGATTACAGATTAGCCGTAGATGGTCTAATAAGAAATCCATCCGAGTAAATGTACTTACTTAGAGGTTTGATGTCACAACAATATATATAATTGTGATATAAAATGAAACGAACATCGCATTTTACATAGACAAGTAACCATACTAATTCTTTTCCATCGGAGATAACAACTTGATTTGTCATGCTAAATGTATAATATTCGCGGTCCTAACGTTGGTTAGTAATGAAAATAAAGTGTTCTACATTCCGTCTAGGTTACTTTGAGATAAGTAAGAGCAAAAGAAAGAAAGCTTCACACGAACTTGCAAAGATTTTAATCCTAAGTACATAATTAACCGATCAACTTTAATAATCTCGTTGAAGGAAGCAAAGTGTCCTTCATATACGAGTAACAACTGACCCACTAAAATACCAGAATCCAACAAATGATTCGAAGCAATATTTCATCCTCGGTTTATTGCCGCCCCAATGAAATGTGTATTCTGTCGGTGTATAACAGAGACGCATGACAAATGACGATGATCCTAATTTGTCGAGAATGGTATACGGCCTTTATCAGCAGGATACTTCTTGCTCGTACGCGTCTAATGAGAGAATGTTTTTGGTATACATAATTCATATGGACGCAACTATTAGGTTGTAAATGGAAGACAGCTCATGCAATCACGTTGTAAAATAGCCGAGACATATTTGTGGAATAAACTTCTGAATTGAAACCTTTTTTATTTGGGTATAAATAAATCGTTTTCATTTGCTTTAATTGGCTTTATCGTATATCGAAGTTTATTTTGTTGTGGTAAATCATTATATTTTATTTATTTCTGTGTTATAATTTGTTGACTCGTGTGCTTGTTAGATATAACCTACAGTGACCGAATTGGATAGTACGCATTATGTTTACCCTACGTATATAAAGTTAGACATAGAAGTGCATACCCGCTTTAGTAAATAATTGACTATTAAGATCAATGTTCCAATAAAATTGCCATAAAAAGTTATATCTTCTTGCAAGTGCTATTTTTTCTTTCTCTAATAAAACTTTGAAAAGCATATCACCAGGCACCAACTTGTCGCCACACAAAACTCGTCCAATTAAGAGCTACCGCATTTTGTTTACCTGATAATTATTCCAATAACCTTCATAATGCGGTCGTCTTAATACTTTCCGTGATTTAGTACCTATTGAGAATTGAAATTCTTGTTTCTACTAGACTCGCCACCAATATAGTAGCTCGCACAAATGCAAAACATCTTAACCATAAATTAAATATGCATATTTAGGCTCAGCTGCAGTGCTATTCTGTAAGATAAACTAACTTTTCACCTCGGAATCCACGGTGTGATTTAAAATTAGAACACAAATTTCAAATAAATTTCAAATCACACCGGCGAATTATGCGGTGATTAGTGATTTTCTTCTTAAACAACAGTGTCAACTCCCCGGCCCATTAAAGTACAGTTAAATCATATTTTTTCAAATTCATAACATATTGACAGTAGAAATCATCATCAGAATAAACATCCGAAATACCCTGTCCAACACCCTATCCAGCTTGGGTGTCCACTTTGAAAAACAACAAGCAAAATATAAATAAACCAAAGAAAAATTCCTAATTGTTTTTAAACACGAAAGTCACGTTGATAAAGACTTCATCATTTCTCAATAATGAATCTGTCAAGAGCTTTCTTTAACCTAACAGGACTAAATATGTCTGCGTCGTGACTGTACAATTATTTCTGTTTTTAAGTACCTAAAGGTAACCCTTCGACCAACAGCGGTGTCATGGATCGGTTTATGTCGGACATGGATTCTATTTACGAGCTATTCACAAAGCCGTGGAGCCTCCACGAGGTAGAGGATTGTGTCAGGGTAGGCAACGTTGCGAGTAATATTTTTGGTAACGCAAGAGTCTATTATGCATAGAAGTATAAGAATAGAGTGGGGAAGGCGGCTCTAAAGTGTCCGTCTAGTAGAAAGAGAAAGAAGGTGAGAGACCGCTGGCTATCTCTTTCTCTCTCTCTCTTGTGACGCATGGAATCCAATGGCATGACATCGAAATAGTAAGATGCTTACGGTTGCCAATGCGCATGCGCGATTTCAGAGAGAAAGCTAGCGGTCTCTCATCTTCTTTCTCTTTCTATTAGAGGGACACTTCCACTTGTAGTAGAGTCTATATCTCCCCTACTCTATTTCTATTTGACGACCACCGTGGCTTGTACTCCAGCCATGGATGTTTAATATGTATTTCTATATAAAATATACTTATATACGTACAGTATATGTATTCTATCCGTTACCCTAGTATCCCATAACACAAGCCTTATAGTGCTTACTTTGGGGCTAAGCTAATTAGTATGAGTGTTGGAAATATTTATTATTGTTATGTTTTTATTTATTTTTAAGCATTTAACTGCTAGATGTTTAAATCTAAAGAAAAGTTTACTAGAAAAAAATCCACGCGGACCAGGCAGCGGACGGGACTCGAACCCGCACCCTTCGCAATCCGGGCGAATGCACTGACTATTATGCTACCACGGCCCTATTCGCCGCGTCGAAATTTTCCTAGCCTTAAGCTGCAAGGCAGCGCCATCTCTTCGCATTGTAGGTAACCCACAAAAAAAAAATTCGACGCGGCGAATAGGGCCGTGGTAGCATAATGGTCAGTGCATTCGCCCGGATTGCGAAGGGTGCGGGTTCGAGTCCCGTCCGCTGCTTGGTCCGCGTGGATTTTTTTCTAGTAAACCTTTCTTTAGATTTAAACATCTAGCAGTTAAATGCTGAAAAATAAATAAAAACATAACTATAATTGCTATTTCTTCTTTCAAATGTTTAATACTTGAAAAAGTATTCATTTGACATTGTGGGTTACCTACAAATCATACAAATTTGTCCACGCTTCGGAGAAAACATGATTCCAGTTCATCCATACTAATTGATAAAACCGATAATCATGTTCCAATGTCCAAAGCGTGTTAGATAAAAATCAATCAAGTGACATGGAGCGCACAATCACAACGAAGTAAGACGAGTTGACTATTTGCAACTGCAAGTCCTTCAAACCCCGTAAACCGTTTTGAGGTGTCTCAGTAAGTGCAAGCGCAGGATGGTCGCCAGGCTTTGTCGTATCTGGTTTTATACTGCAATATGGCATATTATTATGATCACTAATAATATAAAATGAAGGTACTATAAAATGAATTTATTTAGCTACTTAAATATTCCCATGTGTCATATCTTTTGACTACCAGGATATTTTTTAGGTGCTATAATAAAAAAGGCTAGTTTTTCATAGATCTATCGATTCATACTAATTACATTGTTGGCGGAGCTGGTTGTGTTTTGTCCATTATCCTTTTCCTACATAATATGTTACTCAGCCAAGGTATCACGTTGGGCTCGAACCAGTACTTTTTGCAACCCGGGCGGATGCACTAACCGCTACGCTATCAATACCTTAATAGACGTATATTTTTGAATCAAGCAGTTTAATACTTGTTAAAAAAAAACAAGCGTGCTTATGACCACACGACTGAAGTGAAACTTCTTGAGCTCCATCTGTATGTATATATGTGTGTGTACAATATATACATACATGTACATATACATATTTATTTAGCTATGCACTGCTTTCTCTTCCTTATATCCCCCACTCGACTCCCGTCCGCCTCGCCCTACACACACTTTTCGTAATGCTTAACGCATTCACCAGCTTCCCCCCAAATCAAGAGTGCGTAAAGAAATTTCACTTCAAAAATATAATATAAAAACCAAAATACTTTTCCGTAGCGTCTCGCACTTGGGTGGTTCCGATTAGCATAACCAAGCGCCAGCTTAAAATCAAAGCAATGCAATTAGATAAGTAATTATGAATTCAGAATTTCTTAATCACAACTTTTTATTTTGGTCATTTAATGCTTAAACGATTTAATTCACGGCGCACGATTCAATATCCGAGTTTTGTACATGAAAATTAACTTAGAATATTTGAGATTTTTCCGTGCGATCACTTAAACGACGAGGTCCGGCCCGCCTACGGACATTTCTGTCTATATATTTAGACAATAAAAACCGGCCAAGTGCGATCAAAGCTGGCGTATGGAGGGTTTCGTACTGTCATACAAAATTTCCAATTAAAATAGTGAAATAACCGTCAACGATATACTATTGCCGCCTAACCTTTAATCTTATTTTGTTGATTCTTGTTACGAGAGAAATACATAACCCCAAAAACATCACTATGTACCTATCTGTTTATAAGATACATATCATTTTATTGTGGCTTATTAGACTCCTGACACAAGAACCGCTAGTAGAAGCACAGGCACAATAACAGTAACCGGTTACTACCCTCTGGTAGTGCAACACCCGCATGCGTTACCATCCTTCTCGCTTATTAGGCTCGAGAGCCAACGGCTGGTAATAATTCAATTTAAAGCATGTAATTACTTTTGTCTCAATTCGAGAGACGGCATTCTGAAAATCAGACAAAGAATCAGTTAATTAAAATAAGACGAGAAATTTCATCAGAGTAAGGAACCCAAAACAGTTCACCTGTTCATCGAGCGGCCAGATAATCGCGTCATTGTCACTGAGCTTGAATGGACGCTAATTCGCGTATATCACTGCGGTAATAATAACAGCTCTAGTTAAAGTTTAATATGACAACAATAAAATTCCACCAAGTCAAAATAACAGTGATGTATTTTTCTACCTTATACTACGGTATCTATACTATATTTTTGTCATGAAGACACAGTCGGGCGGAGAGTGGAAGCATAGGCACAATAACAGTGACCCATTGTTCCCCTTCATGTTATAATCATGGGGCACACGCCTCCCTATGAATAGACTATGTGAGATTGGGCTATAACTTACAGCGCGGGTTTAGTGCGGATTGGAAAGATAATACATTTTTGGTCGCCCATCTATGACCGGCCATTGTGAAATTTGCTTAACTTCCACGATCGCAGACCGAACGCGCTAACCACTTGCGCCATCAAGCTCCTCCCTGCGTGTAAGAAACCCTTTCCTTTTAAATGTGTGGGAAATGTCCTCTTACGCATCCTTCAGCCACCGGGGAAGCAAGAAGAAGGTATCTGCGGTCTCCTCTCTGTCACAACAGGGCCCTAATCAGTAAAAAAATAGACAATACTCCTGCACCGTACACCCGATACGCATTCTGAGGAAGGAGGTCCCCCTAATGTGTGTAAGGATCCCTAAAACTGTTCACCTGTTCCCCGAGTGGCCGGGTAATCGCGTCATTACCGGCTGTATGGACGCTGATGCGCGTCAATCAAGCCGCAATCACTGCGCTAACAATAACAGCTTGTTACAGGGCTGAGACCGTTTCCATTGTCCCATTCTTATCAGATAAAAATCGGTAATCGATTACTTAGATAATAAAAACTGGCAGTAGGTACCACCGAATTTCACATTATTTTGTTTATAGATTGATCTCATGTAGAGTTACAGGAACTACAAGAATCGATAGAAACAAAAAAGTCAAAACCTACTGGTGTGAGATTTAGTTTAACATAGTATTACAAAAGAACGAACAACAAATCGGCCTTGCACTGGCACTCTTTAAGTGACACTCTTTCGATGTGACAACTTCCAATCATATAAAACAATTAGTTGTAGCAATTATCCTTTCCAAGTGAGATTTGGCTTTCTTATGATTTTATCACAAAAACGCAATATATCTGTATATAACGTTTAAAAACCGGTAGTCAATGGACACAACTACTAACGCTACGGGGTTCCATTACCTTCGTTTAGCAGATAAAAACCGTATTCAGGTCGCAAAGGCACATTTGACCTTTGACCAAGGCAGGTTTTATACTTGGCGAATGTACAAGTACCTTTTAAGTATAGACTGCAGAAAGACTGCAACTTTGATCAATATTTTTTGCTTTCATATATTTTGCAACTGCGTCTTCTATACTCTTTTTACCCAACTGCGGCATATAAGAGCGCGTAGCGTGACGTGCAGACAAGGTATAGTGTTTAAAAGTCTATATTTACCCGACTGCGCAATGCAAGAGCGCGAAGCAGGGTAAAGTGTTTAACAGTCTATATATGTATGTATGTATGTTATTTTGTGGCACACTAGAGACCAAACGCGTGGATGAATCATACGTCAATCGATTCGTCTTAATCATGGGAGTGCTACTAAAGACATCGAAGAAAGATAGTAATCGAAATTCTAAATAATAATTAGGCGCCATATTGTAAAACAAAATACGTTGACCAAATATGTCGAGTGGGGGGGGGGGTATCATTGTCTAGATAATTCGAAAATCATGTTAAGGTTCCCAACACCATTTTTCATTTTATATGACTATTTAGGATCTACAACAATTAAAGTTGTATTAACCACTTGCGCTTTTAATTTCAATCTTACGTTGTACGGATCTTCGTTACAGTTTCACCCAAAAAATACTGAATGGATTATTTTGAAACTAAACAATAATATAGCTCATACATAGGAACAAAAGTAACCTTAACAGTCAGGACCAATTATTAAAAAAACTGATCCATTCTTGAATATGTAATGGGTCTCAACTGTTAAAGTAGTTTTGTTCCTTACTTAATAGACTTATAGACCACTGGACTGGTTTTTTTCTTTTCAGTTTTTATTTGAACATGCGATCTTATGATTTTTAAATTTACCTTCTTTTTAAAAACTTATTTCTGAATATATAAAAATCATTTTTTCTAGGAAAAATTCAAGCGGCCCAGTTATCACGTTGGAATCGAACCATCGTTTTTCGATATCAAGGTATTTTTCTTGTCTTGTAATCGTAGACCTCATTTGGCGTCACTTGTCGGCACTCGCTGTCGTTTGTCAACCTTTGTCTCACGTCGTCATTTCTGATAGCGCACCAACGCATGGGCAGCTTCACAAAGCTCGTCCACCTATATAGACCGCTCGCATTGGTCTTCTTCAAACTTGCCCACCGTCTAGACGGTAGAACTTGTCCTGCATCAGTTTGCCTATGCTCGCGTTGGGTTAAAGTCGGCCGACATGTATGGCGGCTTAACATAACGGTAAGTACCAGGAACTTCAAAGGACCTGTCAAATTTCTTCTACATAGAACCTTAACCTGCAAGGCAGTGTCATCTGTTCGCATTGTAGCTAACTACAATACTGACAACACTCCTGTAAAAGAAAACTTGCAGTTCTTCTTTGACTTACTGTCACACTCACAACAATTAATTTAATACTTGTTTAATGCTTCAATAAGTCTCGGGTTATTTTAATCTTGTTTTGAAAGTAAATAAAGTAACAGTACAAACTTAAAAGCGAAATTACTCATGCAGCCGAAAGGACACTTACCTATCTCTAAGAAAACTTTCCCTTTAACTTAAGAACTTAAAAAAAACGCTACTCAGAAAAGTGAAGAATAGAAGCCGGCAATTATTATTGAAAACTGAATTCACTGCTCTAATTTTGTAACTGACAAAAAGTTAAAGATATTTATATGGACTAAAGAATGCTGCAGACCATTAGTTTTATTAAACATTCCACGATAATTAATTAACAAGTGAAAGTTGAGAAGCGTCCCTCTTTTTGTTAAATGCTCTCGGAACAACAACCTATAAATCAAAGATGACCGTTTAATATGTTATTAAATCGGAAATTTAACGTTACACCTTATTAAGCTTGTATTCATAATTTCAAGTAACTGCGTTGTCGGTTAGTATATAACCACAAAATAGGTGGTACAGAAGGTAATCTAGAAACAAAGTATGCTCGAGCAACGCACACATAGACACCGCGTACAGACAAGATATCTCGGACCACTCGAGACCAGTGCGAGCGCGAGTTCCATCCGCTAGAGACACGCGTCTGTGAAGTTTTTGTGGAGTATGGAGATATGGAGTAACAAAAGAATAGGTATTACAAATGTTCAGTGGACGGTTGAATCAAAAATAACACAGTGAATTGTTTTTTTTTTATTATTTGTCCCTAAAATAACAATAAAATGAGAGTTGAAATACTTAAGTTATTATTGGTTTATACTTCCATGCTTCCTGTTTCATCCCCAACAATAAATCAAACCACTACGTCGAGTGCCACTACCTCGTTTTTGTTCACAAGCTAAAATTGACAATTCTAGCGCGACCGCCGAGTGTAAGTACTAAAAAGTGACATACATACATTAAATTACATTCTGTACTATCTATTTTGTGATAGAACTGGCCCTAAGCGAATTATCGTGTTAGTAGTGTAAAATGTTCGGTGATTGCAAGGTATCGTGTTTTACAAGTCATTAAACGAACGATGCTAACTGGAGTCAATAATACGATATAATTGCATAATAAAGTGTTTTTTTTTAATCCTATCCTACTAATTTTAGTAATGTGAAAGTTTGTATGTTTGTTGCTCAATCACGCAAAAACTACTGAGCGGATTTGGTTAAAATTTAGTACGCATATAGTTTATGAAATGGATTGAGTCATAAGATACTTTTATCCCGGAAAACGATAGGATCGTGTGAGATTCTCAAAAAAATTCAATGAACGCGGACGAAGTCGTAGGCGACCGCTAGTGAGAAATATATCGTTGTAAGTACGTTATCTCGCTGATAAAACTCTCTTTTTTGTAAATTGCGTGATAATAATGGGATATAAATATCATATTGCGGTGTTCATGCTACGAGAGTTGGTATTGCAAACAAACATAAGTTGCGGTAACCTTAAAAATGTATATGACTCCACTAAATACTAGAATAAATAGTAAAATTTTTGACCTGGGTAAGCATTGCCTCTCCTGTATGGCGACTCCTCCCCCACAGGTCTTTGAGCATGAACTCCAGCTGCCCCAAGAGCTCCATGCATATGAGCCACCCAATGAGTTGTCCATTTCCTGAAATGAAACATATATACCTCTTAGACAAGCAATATTAGACACAGTGTGAATACAGCTCGACATTATGCACTTTTTGGAGAAGTAATATGGATAAGGATAATGAAACTCGTTGTAACTTTGTCAATTTTTGATTATCGACGAAGGAAAAAATAAGTGTCCATTATTTTAGCATCTAACTGATGTACTAAATAGAATTTCGTTTACTTTTACCCCGTCATCATAACTATTGTGCTAAAAGAGTTGTATTCCTACGGTGCTTAAAGGTTTCAAAGATCCTTCAGGGTAGGCAACGCATATAAAAAAATATAGAAAAAGTTATAAATAAGCAGATAAGCGAATTAAAGGTAGGAATGTTATTTGACACATACCTAAGTGTTCCATAATGATCAACAAGGGTCGCACGCGGTTGCTACATTAAGTTGCTAAGCGGAGGCAAAGCACATCTGCGTAGGGGCGATGACTTAAAATATGTTATCGGAAGCTCATTGTGTATCGGAAGTTGGAAGAAATATGTCGTTACTTCCTGTAGCATCTCCAATTATCTTTTACACCCAAACCAACTCCCTTAATTGTTGGAACAACTGTACCCACTCCAGCAATTTAATAAAATGAGACAAGATTAACCCTTGAACTTTTTAAATGTAGAAACTCGAAGGTTTTTATTATTCAGTATATTATTCATTCACGAACCATTATCGAATTCGAATACTTTGCGAGTGCTAAATGTCAATGTATGGAAACTTGAATAGCAGCTCCACAAAGAACGTAACGAGAACTAAAAATCATTACACATTTAACTTAATTTCGGTACAGGTTCTATAATTTTAAATTTTTAAGTTGTTGATGTCTTACCGGTGGTGAAACAGTTGTGACGTTGAGTGCCGTCGCGAACACTGCTAATTTGACTATTGTAGTCACCCTGAGAAAAAAAGAATACTCTTTTTTAAATGTACACGATACACATAAATCAATGTAAACTGAAATTGTAAGCTGCGTACAGATAGTGCGTTCCCTGGAACGCCATATAAATACTTGTAGCCCTGGAACGCTCTTTCCATACGCAGTTATAGAATGGCGAATGTGTTGTGGAGCATTGGCATTGATTATTACTTATAGTTTGGTTGCATTATACCTAAACGTTTTAGTGCAGGTTACAAACTTCTGCTTCTTTGTGTTTTTAACAGAGCCATTTTGTAATTTGTAGTAATCAGGTAGTTATATTTTGGTTTTCGAACGACTCTTATTACATAATAAATAGTTTATCTTTTATGTAGATAATTGTTTAGATGGCTGTGCTTGTAAATTTTATGCATAAATTGACAAAAAGGATAATTAAATATTGATTTCCATAATGAGTTGTAAATGTGCACCTTTCTAAAGAACCTTTTTTTACTTCTTTTTAATATTATCTGGAAAGAAGTATAAATCTTTTTAATGCTTACCTAACTTAACACAAGAGGCACTTATGTCTTTTTCTGTTTCTTATTAGACCTTAAATTATATAATTAAATGAAAAAGTATTATTTAAGCATGTAAATGACATTTGAACACAAATATAAAATATTGTTATTGAATTATAAACGAAAATACGATATTCTAGGTTGTATACAAGTTATTAACATCAACTGAATGAAATAAAGGTTCAGTTTTTAAGGTAATCTAATTCTACCGAGATATAACCCAAAGCTTTACATGGGTAAAGTGGCAGCAACACCAAATTTACACTAAGTCAATACCCTTCGCTCGAATGTCACCGAGAATAATAAATAAGACAAAACTGACCATATTTGAATTTTGGAAATCACTCGCTTCCAATAGAATTTTGTCAATTATCACCCTTAATCATATTTCCAATCGGTGTACCGATAACACATGAGGCTTCTACAAAATATCTTAATTTTACATTTGATTTTGTATTTTAAAACCCATCCACAAAGCTTGAAAATCGATTGGAGAATGTTGTAAATTTTCTACGTCTTTGCGTTTTTATTGTGTATGTATACATGTCTCACGATGCGAGGATAATAAGCTCTAACTGGATCTACCTCAACCATTGTCTAAATAAACTACGCTTAACAAGTAACTTTGACTGTAACACTCTTTGTCTTTTCAATTTACTTTACTTTCCAAATTTCACTTAAATCGACCAGTGCCGCCGAGATATTTTGACGGCTGTAAATTCGTTTGAATTCTATTTAACTCCTTATTGAGTTTGACGTCATGTAAAACACATTCTAAAATAGATAAATAAAATTGAATTCCTAAAAATATCATTCTAATTACTATATCTACCTTAACTTTTGAAAATATTTGCCATTGTTTTACCCCAAACTATTTGTAAAGAATATTATATCTTGCTTTGCGATTTTTCAAAACTGCCATGTCCATTAGTAATACTTTAATATCTTGCTTATCTTTTACAGGGCTCCACATGGTTGGGAATTAGGATCTGGTCAGCATGATAAGAATAGCTGGGACAGTACATATTATGTAGGTATAAGCAATTTTTATTTTTACGACTAAACTCGATTCACAATTGACATCTGATGAGGTGAGTTAATTTGCTAAGACTTGTTTAAAGAGCAGGAAGAATTCTCCATGTTAGGAGTATTTTCTTAAAACTACATACACAGTAGAGCTAGATAGCAATCATATATTCTCTACTATCTCTATCTCTCGTCTACTCCGAAAGTCGTTCACCATTACCTTCAGCGTTTACTTTCACATAACTAGGTACTCGTAATTTGAATAATTCAATTTAAAAAAACAATGAAGCTGAGATAGAATTTACAACAAAAGAGCAGCGTGCATTGACAATAAATCAGAGTGAATCATAGCCAGCCTCATCCCTGATGGCTAGTTCTCACCATGTTGCGCAATACGAGTCCATTAGTCAGAGAACGCAGTAAGCGCTTTACTCCACGTTTTCGGCCATCCCGAGCTTCGCATTAAAACGATCGAACGACCGCGTATAACATACTAATGAACGTCTTAAGTGGTTTATTAAGTGTTCATCTCCGTTATTTTTATGTCAGCATCGATACACTGCCGAGTGTCCCATGACACATGGTGTCAGATCGATGTGTGTTATTGAAAACCTATTATGGAAATTACGAATCGGTTATTGAATTCTACAATTTTAGCTTATTATTATTTCAAAGATTTTAAACTTAATGTTTTGTTTCTTAATCTGTTTGAAGCAAGTTTCATATTCATCTTTAGGCACCTCGCGCGCTAGACGGCCTAAACCACGGCCAGTGACCGCAACCAATGATTAGATTAATTATATTTGGCCGTTGCGACCACTGATCGTGGTCATCCAGTGCGGCAGGTACCTTATAGTATGGTAAAAATTCTTAATCTATAAATGGCTTAACAAATACTCAATCCTCAATTTCACTGAATGAAATCTATCCAGCAAATCTCTAGCTGTAGTAATCACAACACTAAGGCCCACTTTCACTTTATTTTTTTTTATTTTATTTATGTTCCTGATAAAGTTTCACATAGTTATGTAACATATAACATTATCTAACAGGTAAAGGTAGCTTATCTGTGCGTGAAAGCTGTCACATATTTTAGTCCCTAAAGAATTGTAATTGACTTCGGAAAGATGAAGATCAAGGACGCGCGTGCCCAAATTCTAAAAGATAATCAGCTGTCTCTCAAAATTTTCTTGAAATCAATCTTCATGTCTTCTTAAAATCTCCTTATCTAACTTGTAATTAAAGCGTAAAGTATTTACCTTAAACAAAAATATTAGTTTAATTGACATCTATACTAACAACCTTATTATGACATCGACTTGATTTTGTTTACGGTCCAATTACGAATAGAAACAGCATTCGGCTTCTCGACAAAACTCATCATAGATCATAATCTAATTAACGTTGAGTCGGTATAATTCAAGCAGTCACAAATGATCACACAAGTATAACATACAAATAAAGATTTTAATCTAAATCAAGCACAATTAACATATTATATGGATTGCTTCGAAATAAAAATACATGTCAATATTTTAATTGGATTTAAAACTGCCTACGGCATACGAGAGCAGAAATAATGGATGTAAAAAAAAGATGTTACGAATTCAGATTCCATGCTATAACTTAATAGAGACATTCCAAACTTTTATAAGTGGACCGGTTCTAAAATGATATTGTGTTAAATTAAACATATCTAATAACATTTAATTAAATGTATAGTTACCATAATTTTATAATATGGTTCTTTGATTTTTCGTTGAATACCTACTGTGATGCAACGACCATTCTGTGATTATTAAATAAAAATCATTAAAAAGATATAAAGGAGTTTAGCAACGGTCTATTCATAAAGCGACTTCAATCTATGGTGAAGATGACAGTATAATGGGGGTGTTCGAAAGACTAGAAGTCGTAAAAACATATAAATAAAACACTTTTGGACACATTTACTACAGTTAATGGAGCTTTAACTGTTGAGTGAAATGAAAACTATATTTAGCTAATATTTTAGTCGGAGACTGTCATAGTTTATGGCAATATGAAGCACTCTGTTTTCGCTCAAGCGAACAGAGCTGCTTATAAGTTTGTTGGCGTTTAGCGTAAATTAAGAAGACAAATGTATGGGGTTGTCATGATTGAACGGCATATAACGTGATCAAGGCGTTTCGCCAGTAGTTTGGTAGCCAAGTAACTATTCATTTTCTCGTTAACGTAGCATGAGCTTTTGCCACTCAGCTAGATATTTTTAACACGCTTTTATTAGTTTCACCTGTATGTTTGTTTGTATCGATTGACTCGATTTTGCCCAACTTTAAGCGATCAGATTTACTTTAAACTTGGCAAATATATGTAGATTAGATAACATTACAATATTATTGTACCACCGAGCTGATCTGATGATGGGACTGGAAGGTGGCTGATGGAACCTTGGACCACCTACTAAACATATCGAGTTTGGGCTTATTAGATTCGTCTTAACACATTCTGTTCATTTCTCCTGATGTCGAGGATCTGATGATGGACTGAAAGGTGGCTGATGGACCCTGGACTGTCTACTAGTAAACAAATCGAGTTTGAGCTCATTACATTCGTCTTAATAACTGAAAATAACATTATGCATCACGTAATATATTAATTGATTTGATAAATATTTATATCTTAAAATCAACTATAAACATGGCTTACTCTAAAGCCCTAATGAAGTAAACACGGAGTATATTTTGTTTATTTTGACTTTTTAGTGCAGTAAGTGAAAGCGTGTTTTTAGTTTTTTCAGTTTAAACCATAGCAAGTTTATGGCCTGCCTAATAGTACTTAGCATATAGACGCTTGCATTGCCAAAGATACCACTTTCGCCGTTGCCTACCCTAACCCGATCCCCTACCCTGTGGACCACTGGAACCATACTCATCGACAGACACGCAACATCACCAAAAAAAGGAAATGTTATTTTACTGTGGTCTCTGTAAAGTGGATGTTAGACAAGCCCTAAAACAAATCGTGGGTATACTCACGGGCCACGGTTACTTCAACAAACACCTTTGTAATATAGGTATTTCTGACAGCCCTCTTTGCAGAGCCTGGAGACGAGCGCCCATGTTCTGCTGGAGTGCAGAGGCGTTGCAAGACAAAGGACTTCTCTAATGGGAAGCCCGCGGACACTAGAAGAAGCCTGCAGCAATATCCGGGGACTGCTGAGCTTTCTGGAGGAGCTGGGATGGCAGGACTGATGCCAATCCCCACACAAAATAGACACAGGTGTCGAGTTGCGGAAACAGCCCGCCGTACTACTAAGATAAGACTAAAGTAAAGGTGAGATGGACGGTTCAATTAAGCTCCACTTCTCTTAACAATGTAGCTAGGTTAATAGTAAAACTAATAAAAAAAACGTGTGGCACTCGGGGACTGCCATGGTAAAGCTATTGCATAGCAACAACTTATGCAATTTTATTTATTTATTTTATTTATGCAGTATTTTTTTTTCTCTGATATTAATTCAAGTTTTTTCTTTGATATTAATAGACGGCGAGGCAAGCCTTATGATATTTTATTGGGCAAGCATAGCAAACAACAGCATTGCGCGGTGCCAAAAAAATTCCACAAGCTCCACAATTTACCATCTTTAGTCTAAAAATTTAAATTATAATTATAAAGTCTAAATAAAAGGGAGACAAATAAAAATAAGAACAGGTGCTGTGGTCTAAAACAAATATAATATAAAAAAAGGAAAAAAATAATAAAAAATACGAGTGCGGGATTTGAACCGACGACCGCGATGATGCGTCGAACGTTGGTCTCGTGGCAAAAATTTAACACACTGCGCCGTTCAGATCGATACTGGTAAGGCGAAAATTGGTATCATATGCACTCTTGTCAGGTTATTTTCGTTATGGAATTTCTTGATTCGGTCGCCGCGCTCAAAGCCCGCGATAAAATCTATGCAATCGCTTAAAAACAAAAATATATATCATGTGGTTTTCAGTTTTCGTGAGTAAACCGAGTTGAAATTTCAAATAATTTGTGATTTAATTGCCATTTTAATTACAAATAATAAACTTGTCACACACAATAAAAAAATGGAGCTCCCATACAAGATTTCTATACCGACAAAATATTTCTTTATGTATGAAGTTTTATTTTCAACTTTTGATGTGAAACATCTATTGCGGGGGGTGTGAACTACAGAAATGGTGTGAACTGTCTATACTATTGAGTGATACCTATTATGAGCAGTGAATTTATAAAATGAACCGTATTTCTCATTAGACTCACTCAGTTACTTTATTCCAAAATCACTATAATTATACTGAACTGAGCACAGAAACTCCCCGTGATCAACGTAAAACTGCAGAATGATACCCCAGTTCCTACGATAGCATTTGTAAGCTACCATTTCCTCCCTTGGACGTCTTCATCGTATTGGATCATCAATAATGGTTTCTGAGTACACAGTCGCACAATTATTGGCTGAACAGTGAATGAATAGCGACAATTTACTACTGCCGCGTACAGTTATAAACTTGCATTCGACCGCGGCTGAGTGTAATTGCTCAACGACAGATTTCAAATAATGTAAGATACTTTCCGCCTTGCTTACTTCATTAACGGGAAAGAAATTATAAGTAATCTTATACAGTGAAAATATTAAATGTCATCGAAGTTGTCTTTTAAAACCGGACTATAGTAAAGTCAACGAGAAGGGTAATGAGGCAGACTTCCAGTGTATGTTTGAATGTTCCACAGAAGCAGTTAAATATATGTACTTATTTTGATAAATAGAGTGTCAATATGTAGATTCAGAGTTACGGTCCGGGTGAGATACATTATTTTACAGTCACAATGTGACATCACATAATGTCATAACATTTTGAGTTCAAAATATAATGTATAATTTTACCGCTGCCGTTGCAATATGTTCGTATTTAGTCGAATTTAGTTGAATAAAAATCTATTGGGAAGAATCTAGTAAGCAGCAATACATAAAGGAGATTGCTCAGCTTCCATACATGTTTGGCCTAAAGACCAATAATCATGAAAAATTGTTTCCTAGATTCGAAATTATATATAAATTACTGTAGAAACGAATATTATTGACGGACACCCCTGAGAACTTCTATAAACAATAATACACTGAACATATTAAAATAACAAAAAACAAATAAGTTATATAGTAAACTAGGGAAATCAAGCCAAGTACCGAAATTATGGATTAGATTCAGATATATAGAGCATGTAGATTAACAGATAGTTGCCTGTTTTTAAAGTTAATGCATAAGAGTAACTTTTAAAATCAGGTGTCATCTTTGCATTTCCGGTTATAATAAGGTACTCTGTGATGATTGTGAATGAGCCACAGATTAGAGAGAATTTTTAAACTCTCGTTAACCAAAGAAAGCTAAGAGATTTAGGTTCTATAGCCATATATTCAGTAGCTTCATTATTTTTGTTATGTTTTTAAGATAACCATATAAAATATGGTACACTAAAAATCTAAAAGATTTTTAGTGTATCACACCTTATAATTTTATTTATTTATTAATTTATAGTCAGGGAACGTAGGCCCATAGATAGATACCTTAAAGTCTAACATATATACAGATTATAATGTGTTTATGGAGGTGTTTGGCGAAAAATGTATGGCAATAGACTTTATGATGTCGCCTACCATCTATAATAATTGTATGAGCACATTTGCATCTAGTGAAAATGATAATATAGTTGTGGATATTAATACCACAGTGTAATAAAAAAAAAATATTTACTTTATCGATCTTTACAAAATAGATTTGTTTTTATGTTATATAAACAACTTCGATCAGTCTTTGGCTGAATGTTACTACACCCATAGCCATTAAAAATAATTCGTATGTTTTCCAAACCGGTAAAATTAAAAGTCCTTTTTTAAGTAAATATATTATACAAAGGTGTCCGTTGAAATCTAATGACCGTAAATTAAATTATAAATTACGTCAAGAATTACCGTGTATGTCAATATTTTTTGTGCATTTAGGCCAATTTGAGCAATCTCCTTTATCACAACCATTCTTACAAAAGAAAACAGAAAATGTTGTCCAATAAAGTTTTATTATTGTAACCAAATTCCATTCCCAGACAAAATTTTGCGGGAACGATCTAGTTCGTAAGCCATAAAGCAAATCACTTTATTAATACAGTCATTCTTACTAAAAAAATAAAAGAGATAAAGTGGTCCGATGAGGTTTTATTATTATAACCGAGTTCCAATCTCAAATCGGTCGAACGCTGAGAATCCCGCGCTCGCGCACGCGCGCACCCGTTCTGAATGGACCGTATAATTCATGTTTACCTTTGCTCTCGAAGGAGTCTCGAGTACTACATAAAAAAAGATTCACCGTTTGATTAACAAAAAAAGTTTACGGTAGACAGAAGTTTTTGTGGCTTGTTCCTACTAATTAGTAGCGTTTGTGTTGTACAAGATAAATAAATTTATGTGAAAGTCAACAGTGTTACGTGTAAATAAGGATGTGTACATAACCTGATAGTGCAAAAAAATTTGCAGTGAAAATAATACTGTTGAATTTATTATTTCAAAACGAGAAAGCGTCCGGGAAAGTAACCTCCACCTTACAAAAGATCACAGCAAAATAACACTACCTTTTGGTAGTGTTGTGTTTCTGTCCGTGAGTAAGGTTCCAGGGCTTCAAGGAGTAGGGAATGGGGTTTGAGTTCTAGACTGGACTCCACGTAACATCAGATGTGGTGGGGTGATTAGTTGCACCTCTTATAAAAAAAACATCTCAACGGCTCAACCAAGATGAGGTGGGGAGGGTGACACAGTTCGGCGGACCGATGGACGTTGGGGTCCCAAGTTGCTTCATGGCGACCTCGCACCGGGAAGCACAGTGTCGGTAGACATCAGGTGGACTGATGACATCAAGCGAGGGGGAATGGACCCACTGGATGCGAAAAGCACAGGACCGTTGTGTATGGAAATCCCTTGAGCAGTGGACGTATATCGGCTGATTTTGATGACTGCTTGCTGACCTACTAATCTACTAAAAAGCTATTCATTTGACACGGATATATAAATCCACGCTAAAAAAGTGCTAGAATAATAGCTAAAAAAGTAAAACCTACTTGTAAGCATCACTCAACGATTCGCCGCCAATGCGCGTGCGGCTCATAAACCATACTTGATTTACAACGCATTGAGATATAGCACCACATACTTTCGCTCCAGTGCTACCATAAACTGTTACTACAGAAGCGGTATTTATGTTAACAAAAGTGTTGAAAATCAATTTAACACATCTGGAATGTTAACTTGTTTAATGAACTCTTCGTAATAAACAAATATTGTTGTGTCTCATTTACCTTGTTACTCTTACATCATTAACGGCTAGATCTATGTGTGGAGTACCATTAAAACACAAAATGTTTCGTTCTACTTTATATAATTGACATATGGTTGAACAAAAACCGTCGAAAGATAATTGGGAACAGACATTTAGGAGTATAAATTAATTTATAAAAATGTAATACAATCAAGGAACCGTGAAACTAGCAATAAGACAAGCCTAGCCCCAGAGCTAATTTATATTTTTCTAGTAAAATTTTCATTAATTATGTAACTATTATTTGACGCACTTTTAACGGAGTTAAATAGGCATCCTAAAGATAACATTAAAAAAGTCAACTATCAAATAAATTCCAAATAAATAAATAAGCTTAACCATAGACCGAAAACCAAGTTTGCTTGCACGAATATCACTGCGAAGTGTGTATGGCCACAGCTTTACGCATCAAACTATGTATAACTCAACTAATTGAAATTGGTCTTTAGTTCGTTCGTTTATGTACTTATACTAAATTTGTAACATAATAGGTTACTCATGATTATCATTATTATTGTCTTCCTTTAAAATGGTAGGTACGAGGTATTCTACCATTGGTCTTGAAATTATGTTCTTTTACTTTTAATTTATTATTACTACCAAAATACTTCCCAGATATAATACTCACTTATAAATGAGAAATTACTTTTACTCACCAGATTACCTTAGTCCACAAGTTGGATTGCTTACTCCTACCCATAGTTTAGGTTTACTGTATATATTCTTCAATGAGTGCCAGTTTCCGTCTGTCCATTTTATTTTAAGTTATTATTTTACAGTCTAATATCATGTCTATCATAAATGTATGTGCATATTTATGGCCTAATTATTTGAAAACACTATTGCAAGTCACTTCACTATAACTACTCATTTTACCTACAGTATTCACTCAAGTCTACAATTGTCACGCTGCATCACACTACCTGTAACAAATTTGAACAAAATGATTATTTTTAAGCTTAATGTTTAAAATAGCCTTATTATGACGACTAAACATAATCCTGGTCTAAAAATAATGCCACCATCTTGTTTTACTAAAACTATGATAGAAATTGCATGCTTCTAAACCCAAATCATACTCGTGTATTAAAAAATAAATTAAGGAAATATTTTTGAAATCAATTTAGAATAGGAATAACAAAGATGGGTAATAACAACTAGGTAGGTAAACCAGAATAAAATTTTACTAAAAAGAAAGATGGAGAAGATTGCAGCTGTTAAACAAAGCAGAGTGAAATAATAAATAAATAATAAATTACGCTACGTTTATAAGAAGAAAACTATCGAAATATCTGCATAACCTTGGAGTTTTCTTAATGAAAACTGCACGAGCGGCTCGTAAAGCTCACAAAAATTGCTTCAGCTGATATATAGAAAATTATAGTCTGAAACCCAAACAAACGTCGCATATGTATATTACTCTTACAACTCGCATACCTAACCAATCTGTTAGACTAGCTTTTATATGCTAAATTAAGAACAGCTATAAAATAGTTAAAATAATTGGCTACAGGAATTCAGAGGTTGAAGGTTACGTTTGTTGAATGCAAAAACATATAGATACTTAATTCTGTCACTCATTCATTCATTCTTCGCATATCCAAAGAACTACTTAGTATTTTCGACCATACTGATATATATTTAATAAAACTTAATGTCCCCGATTTCTGTCAGTATAATGAAGACTATACCGGGTACAGTTTACAATAACTAGTAGTATATATTATTTTTGTCAAAACCGTTTGTGCTTCCGACAATCTTATTATTATTTATCATATAATTACTCGAAATCACATGTTCATTTCAGTACACTAAGTGACCTGATAAATACATAATACTTTTCGTAATAAGCTCGTTATACTACACTACACACCTGTACAAGTAAGATGGTCATGTCAAATCTCATTTAATTCACAGCATCATTCGAAACACGCCGTGTTATTGGAGAAGGTAAACTTATTTGCATAGTCTAGTTCAGTTTACAATTGCATAGGTTTAGGCAACATTCACAACGCTGGCTCATTATATATATATATATATATATATATATATATATATATGTGTTCAAAGGGTGGCAAACTGTGATCCGCCTGATGGTAAGCGGCCACCATAGCCTATTGACACTAGCGATACAAAAATTTTGCGCCGTTGCCTACCCTAACACTTCACACATGTTTATATAGGTACACCTAGTCCTCGTCTATAGGTTGACGACGCTTAGACGCTTGCGATACCATAAATATCATTCGCGCCGTTGTCTACCCCATCCCCTACCGCGTGGAGCCCTGCCCCTCTAGCATGACCACCAAAACGGGATATGATAAAGCGATATATCGGCATTAACTGTCAGACTACTATGAAGTTTGACAGTAGTCTGACAGTAAATGTCGATATATCGCTTTATCATATCCCGTTTCGGTGGTCATGCTAGAGGGGCTGGAACCGTACTCACCGACAGAAACACGACACCACCAAAAGGTAGTGTTATTTTACTGTGGTCTTCTGTAAGGTTGAAGTTACTTCCCTAGACGGGCGCTCCAATTCGAACCGGAAATTCGCTGCTATGCTATATATATATTCCTACCTCTCTTAACTGGATGGCTGACCGAATTCTTTATCGAGTTCCTTCGTAATTCGGGTACATTGGTGGAAGCTTTAACTAATCTACGGTCTTTAGCACCCACCCATATGCACAGGGCCTGCGTTGTTATTTTTTGGTCCATTGTCCCGAGATTTTGTATATTGTTGTTTTCTGTTTATAACGAGTTTTATATGAACGAGCATAGGTAATAATAATAATGTAATCTAATATGTAATGGTAATATAGCAAATCTAATTATTTCCACATCACTATAACAGTACATCAACTTCGGTTAAATTATAACTACAAACTTTTGTTGACATAACGTCTTCCTATTGTTATGTTATAGTTTCATCTAAGGCATGTTACAGATGATTGTGTTTTTGAAAACAACCAGATTCTATTACTAAATAAATGTGTATTAAATTATACTTCTTAGTTTTTTATTAAAGGTAACACGCAAAGAAATTTAAAGCTGTAATCTTAATTCGACTGCATCTGCAGTCGTTAGCACCCACCAAGCCGCACTGGGCCCGCGTGGTGGATCATGGCCCAATCTCCCTATTCCATCCATAGGGTAGGCCTGCGCCCCAGCAGTGGGGACATTAATAGGCTAATGATGATGATGAATCTTAATTTAGACTATACAAATCTGGATTGCTGAATCCATATAAGAATACATACTTTTGTAAAGATCAACACAAGATCAACAAAATTAGGAAACATTGGTGAAGTGGCAGTAGAAAATTACAGTATATATAATACATTATTTTAGACACGTCGAAGGGCCAACGTTGGATATCACTTGCGTTGCTCTAAATTCTAAGGAACGTAGCTTAAGTAAGTAAGCACTAGCGATACGGAAACAACGAGGACACAAACCACCCAGCATAGAGACAACAAGATAATTGCGGTGTAGGTACTTAGATAAAGGGATTTTCATTAAGAATAAAATTAATAAATAAATATAGAAAGTAAAAGGTTTCTTAACCACTTGACTTCAGTTATAACTATTATTGAATGGATTTCTAAAGCTGAAAGGAAATCAAAAATCATTTATTCGATATTTCACTCTTAAATATAATGAATACTATAAGTTGTATAAACAAACGTGGTCCACCAAAACGGTCCCTACTCAGTACATGTTTTGGATTTTTGTTATTAGAGAATGCACTTAACGATTTTTTAAGAAAAATATTTATATGCAGATAAAAAATAAAGCGCAAAAGAATATACATAGGTATTGGTATAATATTAAAGTCACATATTTTTTTATATCTTAACGCCATATACTTTATATCTGTGTTACGTAGCGGATGGGCTGTTATCAATGCACTTTAAACAAAACTATCAGCTGATTACAAGCTGGAGACGTTAGGTGAGAGCTTGGGAACGCACCATCAAAATTTTATTACCGTACTGGCGCATACGAGGCTGTTAAGAATATTTCTATCAATGAACACTTCTGATTGAGAAAATATTCTTTATTCATCTATTAGCGACCGCCTGGGACTTCGTCCACGTTAACTTGAATTTTTTGAGAATCCCTTAGGAACCCAAAAATGTTTCGTTGTAAAAGTATCCTATCTCTCAATCCAGGTTATAAACTATATGTGTGCCAAATTTCATCCGAATCCGTTCAGTCGCTTCTTGGTGATTAAGTAACAAACAAACTCACTTTCGCATTTCTAATATTAGTTAGGAAATTGGGATTGTAATTTAGGTTAATGTCAGTTTGAAGTAAAAATCATATCACGTTTTTACGGTTCCGTACCTCTAAAGAAGAACCACTTTGTTATCCGCTCGTCCGGTTATCCATCAGTCCCTCATGCCCTTTTTCTCGGACTTTTAAAACAACGAAAACAATTTTCATGCTCATTTTGCTGCATATTTTGACGTTCGCAAGAAAATTAAAACATATGGGTTAATTTTCCTTTTACCTAAAATCTTAAAATTTGGTAATTAACTAAATACTTAATATAGTAAATTCTTAGTTAAAACTAAATACTTAGATGGGAATTTAAATTCAGTTTATCTCGTAAAAACGATGTTATCGACCTAAGCGCGGTAGCATCTTTGGCCCTTATAAAACACGCTATATCGTACATGTTGTGACGTCACACCGTCTTCAAATGGAACGTGGCGGAATGAACAGTGTACACTGAGCTTTAATATCACACTTCCGTGCATGCTAAGGTAAATTACTTTATGAAATTTGGGTCATCCCAACGTGTTATTTTTAGAGTAAGCTGAGTTTAGTAAGGAAACAAAATGAAAATATTTTTGGATTCAATATACCTGCCAACATATTGAAGATACGCCCAGAGTATAAGATTTAAAATTTAACTCGGCACCTACATGCGTTCCCGATATTAAGGGGCTTGACAGACAAAAAAACGGGCCGACGGATAGACGGACTATAAAGAGTTCCTATAAGGGTTCCGTATTTTCCTTTTGTGGTACGAACCCTAAAAAATGTTGATTTTCGTCCGCCTTCTCATAATAACTTAAATATAATTGAATTAATGTGTGAGAATAAGGTTGAAAGTACACGACTGCTATCTTTATATAAATAGCAGCTAAACTTTTAAACTTTAAGTATGTAGGTCCGCTATCTAATTATTTCAAATTAATAATTCATAGCCGGAATATGATTGTCAACTTGCGCACATACCATGATTCCAGTCAAGCGATGTTGTCCGGAATCAGACACGCGAATAGAACTAACCACAATCAGTTTAATTAACATCTCATAACATCGCCACTGCTAATTTTTAATGACAACTCGCTCATAAGAAAAGTGACGCAACTATTTAAAAGCAAATTATTCATTTTCGTATTCTCTTACCTAATAGAATTTAAATTCGATTTTTCGAAAAGTTTTCACCGAACACTTTCAATAAAAAAAAATAACAACACTTTTTAATTTTACCACAGACGAAATAAAAGGCACTTTAAAAAATAAACTCGGAATAGTTCGCGCCTTCGTAGGGCTTGCTCCCAGCACGCATGCGCGGTGTCCGTACGCCCGCTAGTGATGCCTTTGCCTGACTGGACTCACTACGGATTCATGGCTTTAAAAGTGGAATATGGTGTCTAGTTCTGTAGAAGAAAATTGCCAATATGTGGAGTATACGAGTCAAAATGAAAAAAAAGGTTTTATTATAGCAAAGCAAAAAAATTGTAGATTGAAATAGACAGTATGCGTTATTTTGTAGAGTTCAAGTAGCTCAACAGATTATTTTACCAATTCTTCAAACGACTGGCAATTATTTTAATTTAGTTAGTAGATATTATAGTGAAATTATTGACTGGCATGTACAGTTGTACATGAATGTGTGTCAATTAATCTAAAAAAGGGAAATTAGAAAAGAACTTATATATACTACCTAAATTTATGTCTTTAATATGTTAAAATATAAACATTATAATAGTAATTTGTGTTTAATGCCTAATGATATCAGATACTATCTACCATTAATAACTTCAGGCTTACATAGATATTGTGTAAAAAGTCATTAATATTCAAAAGCACATGAACATAACTCAAGAACTGAAGACAATGACCGCTAAATATTTTATTTATTGGCAATAAAAACCGATCGATAAAAATCGATTCTATGTTTGTTGAATTGATAGTGCCATTTGTCGTTCAATTGTTATGTGAGAATATTAAAGTAGTGGCCAATGAAGAATGAAGTTCATTGAAATAGGATGCTGTAAATTTTTCAAATCTCATATCTCACTTTGCATTCTTTCTTTAGACTTATTAAACTACGACGGCTGTAAAATTGTGTAACTATACAAATGTAGTAATAATAATCATCTGCGGAACGGGTAGACCAGTCACATAGGGGAATAGATACAAAACACCATAATAATTAAACAATAAAAAACTCGTCATTTAGTCATTAGTGAAATTCGTACCTACCGGAGAAGCGATCCGCTTTAATTTTTATGGCTATTTAACGAGCAATCTCGAAGATGGCAATAATTGTCAACTTACATCACTATTTTTATTCGCGATTGTTTGTGATGCTATGAATTCGTGCGCAAGCTGATGATTGGCAGTTTTATCTTAAAGTTTTTCTCTTAGAATGCTACTGAAGGCTACTCTTTATCAAAAGCTTGGTTTAATCATTGCAAACAATAAAATCCCTCTAATTAGACACAGTAGAGATTCCCTTTTGCATAATGGCAAACAAAAAACAGCAAAAAAAATTAGTTTAGTTAAAATTCCCGTAAATAGTAACCCATCTCAAACTGTTCATGGATGTGTTAGTTTTGACGGTAAACAAAATATGATTACATAAGTGGAATTTGATTTGATCTGCCTAATTGTTATAATAAAATGCTCCAATCATTTCAGTAAGGTATAAAAATATTCTAACAAAGTAAGTAAGCACATAGCATAAGTCATCTTGAACTAATAATAATTGATAGGCGTAGATAATGAAAATTTATATCACCTCAACATAACACTAACAAAACTGTATACTGTATCTTAAAACATATTGAGCTAAAATCTATTAGGGGCATATAAGTGTACCACTAGGTGGTCTATTTCCATGTTTTTCATTACTTTAACGGAATCCTGATAAGCTTTTATTGTCTCGTTTCTGTTTGCTCCATTAAAGAACAAAATAGTTGGATAACATTATGGGTACTTGCACTTACAGTTAATGTCAATGTGAGGTGTGATTTAGTTCAATGAATATGTCTAGTGACGAGATATCCTTAAATAGAGTGTTGAGTAAAACGCGAGACCAGATTAATTTATTTTATGGCTCGTAAAGTTATGGTGATTTAGCAGGTATTATTTATTGTACAGGAGCTAGTGTAGGGAAGGCAGGTAAACGCTGCTTTTCCTCTTCTTAAGCAACTTTGAGGACAATGCCTTTCTTAAACTCGTGCCACATCGCAAAAATTAAATAAATACTCTCCAAATTAGAGAAAAAAATGTTATTAAAGCATTTTTTATCTAAAGAAAATTATACTCTGCCCAGGTATATAAAGGCTGGTTGTTTAGTATGGTGCTCACACGCTACAAACTTAACATTTGATAAAAATGTCGGGGAAAATACTTTCATGTTAGGTTATCTTAGCAAAAATTATTTTTTTATACAAACTTGTTAGATAATAAATTGTACAATAAAAATATTTGCGTTTGACGCATCCAATCACCGCTAGTTTAACAAAACACAACACAATGACTAGATCTTTTCCTATTTTCGTGTAAATGTCGTGGCCATATCGTAGATTTGCTCATTTCATGAAATGCTCGAGTATTTCATGAAATGGTCGCATTTCATGAAATGTCTCACTATCTATTGGCCACATCATGATGTGGTTTGGGCAGAGATGAGAAATCGTTTCACGATATGGCCAACTAAACGCGCGGCTTCTTCATGAAATGGCCAAAATTATTTGATCATATCGTAAAGTTGTTAAATTAGTTACCGGTAGAGGCGCTGCAAGCGCTTTGTTTATATTTGTAAATGGCGGCCGCTGCCGACAATGTTGTTTCTCGCAGTGATAAAGTGATAACAAAAGGGTTTTCGACGAAAAGGTTCTCGAGTACGTACTCAAGTTAAGCAAAAATTGAGTAAAATGTAAAAAAACCGTGGGTTGGATCGCATTACACAGGTTAGTACTTTACTCTTAAATTACATCATTATTCACTTATTTTATTAAAATACTTTATGCCAGTTAACGTATTGTGTTTCTATTAAATTAATATTATTCTTCGTTTGAAAATTATGACATAATAAAGGTAATGTTTTTTCTTTTTTATGTTATGAGACAAATTAAGGAGAGTAGGGTGACTACGCAAAAGAAATCCATGGACTATTACTGGCTGCAAAAATATGACAATTCGGAAACTGCGGATGAAGTAAAAAGTGCGGATGAGAATCAAGCCTACTATTGCAATATGTACCAAAGTACCTTTTTATTTCCAAATATTTGTTAGTTTTCTAAATGTAAATGACGTTTACATTTGTGTAACTACATGACACATTAATGTTTAATTTAGAAAAAATCTTTGATTTGTGTATTTTCTTAAAAAATATGATTCAATTTTTTTGTGTCATTCGGACTCAAATGACAATAAACAAGTTCTTAACATGTTCTGGATTTTTATTAAATATTTTATGGACACCCTAATTATACGATCCGGCCAAATGTGGATGACAAAATCGTTAAACGTTGACGATTTAATGATCTGCTCAAATTAAGTTGGCCACGTCATGAAAAGCGACCATTTCATGAAATATTCGAGCATTTCATGAAATGAGCAAATCTACGATATGGCCACGACATAGACACCACGGAAAGTAAATTGAAACTGCAAGCCCGTGTCATGTTATAAATATTTACCCATAATGTAGAAGCATTTAAAATATATATTCGTATATAAGTAAATTTTTGAGTCGGGCAGCACCATTAGATATAAACATCTATCTTATTAAAGAATTTATTAATTAATTCAAAGTTTATTTAGCGGTTTTGGGCTAATCTATTGTAACTAAAAAGAGAGGTAAGGCATAGCGGATTTTCTGCTTGAATTAGAGCCAAGGGCGGATCCAGTGGGGGTCATGACCCCCCCCTGGTCTGGGTCCATCTGTACCTACTTCACAATCTGTACTTCCAATCTTTACCCACTGTGACTTGATCACAACCCCCCCCCCCCCCCTGGCGCCAAAGCTGGATCCACCCTTGATTGGAGCGCCCGTCTGGGGAAGTAACCTCCTCCACCTTACAGAATACCTCAGTAAAATAACACTACCTTTTGGTGGTGTTGTGTTTCTGTCGGTGAGTATAGTTCCAGGGCTCCACGCGGTAGGGGATGGGGTAGACAACGGCGCGATTGATATTTTTGGCATCGCAAGCGTTTAAGCGTTGTCAACCTATAGACTAGGCCATGGTGGCTGCTTACCATCAACACCATAAACTTGTTTGCCACACTTTTCACATAAAAAGTCGCACAAATGTAGTATAAAGATCGTACTAATTTAAAAGTTTATATATTTGTTTGTTACTTTGACAGAACTAATTTGGATCAACTTTGACACACATATTGCTACGTTGCAAGCAGCATTCAAATTATTAATACTACTTTTACCTGTATAAAGATATACACGTATAATAAAAAAATACTTTAAATTAAACTGTACATAAAAAAGAAGCTCAGGGTCGATGGTAGGGGTTCTTTGCTCTAACTCGTCATCAGTAGCAGCATAGGGATTTATTTAGCAACGATACCGTCCTTGATGTCGCAGGTGGTTGATACTGAAGCAGCAGCAGCAATGCAGGACAGCAGTGTAGGATCAGGTGTCGGTAGAAAACACGGTGGTAATAGGATAACAGACGTAAATTCAAATTCTTTATTACATAGTCACATGGTTAAAAGATGACAATTTAGTTACATATTATATAGTACATGTGACCCTGCAAGAGTGTTTGCAATTTATTTGTACATACATATAATTATTAACATGCAATACAAAAATACAATTAGGTAGGTACATCAGTAACCATCAATTCAATATACTTTGAACAATATCCATTATTGAACTCAAAAAAGGATAAATCAGAATGATGGAGTAATTGTATATATCAGGAAATCCATAAGAGATACAGTAGTTACTAAACCAGCTTTTATGGATGCAAATTGCCAGGTCTTAAAATAGGGCCATGATACGTATTTTGGCAATATATGGACCTCCATCTTTTAAAGATATCTCAAACTTTCTTTCTTCCTTAGATCGGGTATTATCAGACCATTCACAGTTTTTGAACATCGTTTTAATAGGAGATATTAATATAGATATATCAAATAGTAATGACAGTAGATGTGATGAGTACTTGAATTTGATTGCAAGTCATGGTCTTTTATCGGCTCACACAAAGGCAACTCATGGTAAAACAGCTCTAGACCACGTAATATTGAAAAGTAAACTTAGGGCTACAACTATAGTATTGGATTCTACAGTCACTGACCACAATGCTATCATTGTTGCTCTAGAAAAAACTAAAATTAA